ACGACAGCACGAGTAGCCCTGCCACATCTCGATGCAAAGAAGCGTCGCTGAGCGAGCCAGGAGCACCGCGCAAGCCGACCCGCCACGGGCAGACTCATGCTACGACCTTCGCCTCCTGCTTGTCTTCTCTCGCAGGACATGTGACCGCTTTCTTATTCGGCGTTTCGGCTTTGGGCGGAAGTGGGGGGGTGGACGGGGGGGGGGTCTGGCTCTGGACCTACGCTCAACGCGACTGTTTGCAGCAGTGCGTCCTGTGGGCAGGACCCCACCTGCTCGAAACAGGTGCCGAAAATAGCCAAGATCTACTCCACAAAGGGGGTGTGGAGGAGGGGTGCGAGGGGCCGCGCCGATCGGAAAAACAATGAATCAGAAAACGATCACCATCACTAGTGACCCTACCACATCTCGATACAAAGCGTCGCCAGGCGAACCAGGAACACCGCACAGGCCGACCCGCAGTGGACAAACTCCTGCTGTGGCCTTCGCTTCCTGCTCGTGTGAACTCGTGGCTTCAGTGCGTCGTGCGTGCACTTCGAGGCGGGCCACGGTGCTTGGCCGTGCGCGATTTCGGATGGCCGCCCAAGTCAGAAGTCTGTAAAATATGCTCAATTCGCCGCTTTCTTAACTTCTGCCGCTCTGCCGCTCTTGGTCAGTCCGAGCGTGCGTGATTAACGACTGCGGCATATTGCTTTCACGGCTGGCAGAACACTCGACTAGATTCGTCACGATTCGTATCTGGTGGCCATTGGGCCGCGGTCCCAAACTCCAACTCAACGGTGCAGTCTTGTCTGCTTCGCAAACATCTTGCACCTCTACCTTTTCGATGCGTGGGCCCCCATGCCTCTCGACGCCTCCCCAGGGCTCGGCTTCCCAGCCCGGGCTGGCTGCCGGCCCCCGCGCCCGAAACTAGAGGAAAAAGAACTATGCACATACACCGATTCTGGCCAGGCCCATCCTGAGCCCAGGATCGGTGCATACGCCCTCCTACCTTGGCCAGGAAGGCATATGCACCGATCCTGGGTCAAGGATGGGCCTTGCCAGGATCGGTGCATGTGCATAGTTCTCTTCGCCCGAGAAACGGGCCTCCAGAGGCCTGAAGGGAGGAGACAGGCCGGCCGCCTCGACTCTGTCGCCACGCCGGATGTCTGGGGTCTCGTGAGCTTGGGCGTGGACACCCGCCAGGTCTCTTCGTCTCGCGCTTCACGCCTTCGCTGGATCACGGTCACGGTATAGAATTCGCCACTGGAGGGTTTAAGGTTTCGGTTTGGTGAATACTCGAATATATATATATATATATATATATATATTGTTGTGTTTAAAGTTTTTCCTGGAAAGGGCGTAGGCCCAGGGTTCTCTTTTAGTAGGTTTACCCCCGGGTCTGACGGGAAGAGGGCTGGCGGATTTCTTGTGCGATAAATGACGAGTGGGAAGAGGGCCGGCGAATTAAAATTTGAGGATGTCCCTAGAGAAACGCTTGTTTTTCAGAATTTGTTGAAGATGTCTCGAGCGAAACGCTTGTTTAGTGTTATAGATTGTCCTCTCCTGGGGACCAGAATTCAGAGGATCTCTCAAGTGAAATGCTTGTTTTCACGTGCCCAGGTCTTGAGGATGTCTCGCGCGAGACGCTTGGTTTCACGCCTCCAGGTTGCCCAGACAGATGTCTAACATGAGGATTTGTTGAGGATGTCTCGAACCAGAGGCTTGTTTTCACGTGTCCAGTTCGCCCAGGCGGATGTCTAGCATGAGGATGTGTCGAAGAAATCTCGATCGAGACGCTTGTTTTCACGTGTCCAGGTCGCCCAGGCGGATGTCTAGCATGAGGATGTGCTGAGAACGTCTTGAGCGAAACGCGTGTTTTCACGTGTCCAGGTCGCCCAGGCACAGCACAGCCCTCGGCACGGTAAATCAATATCGATACCCTTAACATTGCAGCCTGGCATGTTGCCTGGCACGTTCCGCGGAGCGTCCCGTGGCGGGTCCACCTGGCACGTCGCGCGGTGCACGTCCATTGGCACGTTCCGTAGCGCGTCCCCTTGGCACGTCCCGCGGTGCGTGCCCATGGTACGTCCCTTGGGACGTTCCGCGGCGCGTCCTCCTGGCATGTCATAAGCTCTGGGGCAGCTACCATCTGCTCAGGCAACTCGAGCTTCAGATCCAGATCAGTTCGGTCAGGACTCGGTGGCAACGAAGACTCGATCCACAACGCTATATATACATATAGAGCACAATCGCGGAATGGCACATCGCAGTTCAGCACGGCCCAGCACAGCACAGCCTTCGGCACGGTACATCAAGATCGATACACTGAACATTGCACCTTGGCACGCTCCTTGGCGCGTTCCGTGGCGAGTCCACCTGACACGTCGCGCGGCGCGTCACCTGGCACGTTCCGCGGCACGTCCATCCCCTTCGCACGTCCCGCGGTGCGTGCCCATGGCACGTCCCCTGGCACGTCGCCTGGCGCGTCCCTTGGGACGTTCCGCGGCGCGTCTTCCTGGCATGTCACGTCTGTCGATTAGCTCTGGGGCAGCTACCATCTGCTCAGGCAACTCGAGCTTAAGATCCAGATCAGTTCGGTCAAGACTCAGTGGCAACGAGGACTCGATCCACAACGCTATATATATATAGATATAGAGCACAATCGCGGCATGGCACATCGCAGTTCAGCACGGCGCAGCACAGCACAGCCTTCGGCACGGTACATCAAGATCGATACATTTAGCATTGCACTTGCCCGTCGCCCACTCAGGTGTCTTTGAAACGTTGCCATGCCCTACATTTCTATATTCCTTTCCGGGTTCGTGGGTCGATCATGTTATATCATGAATTAAGCCGTGGGCGAGCGAGTGCCTTCGCACTCTGGCGCCGCGCCCCCTGAGAGGAGACGCCCCTCTGGCCGCAGGCTTCGGCAAGCGCGCCCGCCTTCGCGCCCCTGCCGGTGACCTGGAATACGTGCCGCCTTGTGTGCACGCGGGGGCGCACAAAGCCAGGGGGGATACACTCGGGCTGCTGAACGAAGGAACGCTAAATAAGGAACGAAGCCCCTCTGCGGCTTCAAAAAAGCCTGGGTGCACGAGAAGGGCTAGAGGAACAACCGCGGAAGGACGTAAGGAACATCGAGCCTCTTCCGAATCCCAAATGTTCCTTATTTCAGCGTCTTGGCTGTATCGGTGAACCACGGTGATGGCGCATTGCATAAGGAACCCTTCGATCAGGAACTCTCCGAGAAGGACTCCAGGGTCTGAAAGCCAGTGGAACAACTGGAGAAGAAACCGTTCGAGAAGGAACCGTTGGAGGAGGAAGCCAGTGGCGGGGGCACTGGACACGGAACCATTGGACGGAACCCGTGCTCCGGGAGCCGAGCTCCAATAGTAGACCGGCCATGGATATCACCGTCGCCTTCCTCGGATAAGGAACCCTCCAAGCTCTGGCGCCTCCTGGAAGCATTCCTTAACAAGCGCCACCACCCTAGGGGCCCGACCACAAGAAACCTTCCACAAGAAACCCAACCCTGAGACCCCAGGACGTCCATCGGTTTTTGGTGTGGGAACGTCGCGCCTTCCACAGCAAAACCATCGACATCCAAGAAACCCAGGGTGCCCTGGAGGCAAGCAGGGTGTTTCTTGGCATGGGTTTCCACTGTAGCCAACATCAGCTCGGTGCGCGCGGATTATGGCTCCGTACTCCCCAATGCCATCTCGCCCACTTTTATGCGTTCCGATCCTCGCTGGTCAGGAGCTCCAGCGCCTTCGAAATGCCATCCAGTTCGTCGGCGCGCAACTGCTTGCGCTCCGCCCACTGGTCTGCCTTGCCTGTGCAGGTCGCCTTCGTATTGTCGAAGAGCTCGACGCTTGCAGCCAACTGCGCCTCGGTGTCGCCGTAGCCCTCGGTGGCATCGCTTAGCATGAGCTCGGCCTCGGACTTGGCGGCCTGCTTCTTCCCGACGCTCTCCTGCAAGATGAGTAGCTCGGACTGCTTGGTGGCCATGTAGTCCTCGTAGAGGCGATGTGCGGCCGCCTCCTGCGTGGTCTTCTGCTCCAGGTCAGACGCGAAGGTCGCGTACATGTCCTTCAGGATGCCCTGGATGCTGGCGGACTGCGGCGTGTACCTCCGGTCGGCCGCGGCCTGCAGGGCCGACAGCTGGGCCTGGCCGAGCTGGCCGTGGGCGGGCAACTTGCCCGCAACGGCCGCGACGTCCTTTAGCAGAGTCCTCAGCGCCGGCTCCCCCGCAGTCGCCTGCTCGAGGGACATGCCCGCCGTCGCGTTCCCGAGGACAGTCAGGGCCTTCTCCAGCGCCGTCAGGGCCTGGTGCAGCTCGGTGGACTCCGCAGCGAAGGCCGCGCTCTCGTCCTGTCGCACCTTCGTGGTCGCCGCCTGGGCCTGCTCGTTCTCCTCGATGTCCTTCAAGAGCTTGGCTATTTCAGCGACGTAGGTGGCCAAGTCGCCCTTGAGCTTCAGGATAGAATTGCCGAAGGATTGGAGCTGTTCCTTCGCCAAAGTGACGGCCAGCGCCTGCTTCTGGGTGAAGGTCTCGCACCAACATGCGTACCTGTCGTACCCGGCCTGCTCGGACTCCCCGTCCTTCTCGATGCTCTCCTGAAGCTCCGTCAAGAGGGTGATCACCTTCTCCATGCCCTCGGTGGTCGAGTGGTTCGCGGCGCCGAGATGGCCGCTCGAAGCGACCCTAGCGCCCGTGGCGGCAGCGGAGACGACCCTGTTGTGCGTGGTACGCGCTCTCGGAGCCACGCGGGCAGCTGCCGGCGCCCGGCGGACAGAGCCGGGAGCGCCAGACGCTGACCTGCTGCACCCGAGTACCGTGAGGATGTGTACGACCGCGCGGTGTAACTTCATTACGCGTCAGTGGGCAGCAGCTGCGTCGGCTGCCGCGAAGGTACACTCGGGCCGTGTATCCCCTCGGGCCGGTATGGCAGCGGGCCTTCATCCCTCTTCCCGATCAGTCGCCGCGCCTGCTAAGACCGTCAGGCGTGCTGGTGGGGAAGGGTGGGCGGGCGCGTCGCCGGCATTCGATGAGTATCAGGCGCAGGCGGTTCCTCGCAGGCGCACCGCTCTTGACGATGTTCGGCCTACTCAGGTCCCAGACCTGTGGCAGGGCCAGAGAAGCATCATGGTTCCAGCCCCCCAGGTCCTGCAATTGCAGCAGGTCCGTGGTAGACTCTCCGTTCCAATGGGCGACCGCCCTGGCGAAAAGGAATTCTGACAGCACCTGTGCGGAAGGGACCTGGGACGCGAGGTTGTATTGCAGCATCAGTGATGTGCGCTGTGCTTGCGCTGCTCCTGTTTCTTCTTCTCTTCTCCCTCCTCACGTCCACCCTCGTCCTTCCTCCTTCGCTTCCACCTCCACCCTCTTCTAGTATCCCACATGATCCTCCTCTTCCTCCGCCTTCTCCTCTTCCTCCTCTTCCATGCTCTTGCGCTGCCCTTCCCCCCGCTTTCCTGGAGACCACCGAACACCTGCCACAGCGGTCGAGTTTCACGTGGACGCCATGCTGAATTTGTCTGACGAGCGGCCTAGCCTTTTGGCAAACAGATGCGGCTTGGGGAGGGGTGACCCCCTTTACATTCTGCTGCGCCGCAGGCAGCAGCAACAACAATAGCAGTGGTCATGTTAGGATGGATCGAATTAGTCGAAGTCCGAGCTTTCCTGACGTAAGTATGTAGGTATGTATGTATGTTTGTGTGTATGCATGCATGCATGAATGTACGTATGTATGTATGCATGTATGTATGCGTACACACACTGACAATACGTAGCACCCCGCAGATGCGGATAAGAGTGAGGGGGCGGTGGGGACGTCGGCAGTTTGCGAGTTTCTGGAGAAGCCCGCCGCAGGAGCCAAAATTTCACAAATTATAGAACGAGCCCGCCGCAGGCGCCGATTTTTCTCGGAAAGGGCATAAGCCCAGGGCTCTCTTTCAGTTGGTTTACCTCCGGGTTTGACTTGAGGTGGGCCGGCGAATTTCTTTTGCGATACATATCGAGGTCGAGGTGGGCCGGCGAATTCAAATTTGAGGATGTCCCTAGCGAAACGCTGGTTTTTGAAACCGCGATCGATAAATCACAGGGTGCGGGGCACGTTTTGGTCAAGGGCATGGATTACGTAATGCCTATAGATTGGCCCCATCCAGGGGTACGTATCTGTTTGTTTTTACGTACGTTCCTATACATGGGCCCTCTCAATACCTACAGATTGGCCCTCGGGCACGAATGCGTGTGGTTTAAGACATATTCCTATAGATAGGCCCTCTCCAAGATTACGTGTGATCCTATAGATTGGCCCTCTCCGGTTTTTCATACTGTGTTGAGGATGTCTCGAGCGAAACGATGGTTTTGCAAAATTGGGGGATGCCTCGAGCGGGGGCCTCGTGGGGGGCCAGAATTCAAAGGATGTCTCAGGCAAAATGCTTGTTTTCACGTCCCGCTCGCAGGAATTCCGAGGATGTCTCGCGCGTGCCGCGTCCGGCGCGCAGGAATTTGGAGGACGTCTCGACTAATTTGTTTGTTTTGCGAGGATTTCTTTGGATTTTGACAGGATGTCCTGAGCGAAGCGCTTTTTTTTGTTTGTTTTGTTTCCCCCCCCAATTTGTTGTTGATGTCTCAAGCGAAACGCTGGTTTTGCAACATTTTGGGATGTTTCGAGCGGGGGCCTCGTGGAGGGCAAGCGTTCAAAGGATGTCTCAGGCCAAATGCTTGTTTTCACGGCCCGCTCGTAGGAAGTCCGAGGATGTCTCGCGCGTGCCGCGTCCCGCGCGCAGGATTTTTGAGGATGTCTCGACGAATTTGATTGTTCTTCCAAGATTTCTTTGGATTTTGACAGGATGTCTCGATGGAAACGCTTGTCCCCAGCACGTTCCGTAGCGCGTCCCCTTGACACGTCCCGCGGTGCGTCCCCATGGCACGTCCCCTGGCACGTCGCTTGGCGCGTCCCTTGAGACGTTCCGCGGCGCGTCCTCCTGGCATGTCCCCCTGTCAATTAGCTCTGGGGCAGCTACAATGTGTTCAGGCAGCTCGACCTTAAGATCCAGATCAGTTCGGTCAGGACTCGGATGCAAAGGAGGACTCGATCCACGAGGCTATAGAGCACAATGGCGGCATGGCACATCGCAATTCAGCACGGCGCAGCACAGCACAGCCCTCGGCACGGTACATCCATATCGATACACTCCGCATTGCAACTTGGCGCGTTCCTTGGCACGTTCCCTGGGGCGTCCCTTTGCGAGTCCCCCTGGCACGTCGCGTGGCGCGTCCCCATCGCACATCCCGTGGCACATCCATTGGGGCGTTCCGTAGCGCGTCCCCTTGGCACGTCCAACGGTGCGACCCCATGGCACGTCCCCTGGCGCGTCGCCTGGCGCGTCCCTTTGGGCGTTTCGCGGCGCGTCCTCCTGGCATAGTCCCCCGTCAATTAGCTCTGGGGCAGCTACAATGTGTTCAGGCAGCTCGAGCTTAAGATCCATATCTGTTCGGTCAGGACTCGGATGCAAAGGAGGACTCGACCCACGACGCTATAGAGCACAATCGCGGCATGGCACATCGCAATTCAGCACGGCGCAGCACAACACAGCCCTCGGCACGGTACATCAAGATCGATGCACTCAACATTGCATTGGCCCGTCGCCCAATCAAGTATCTTTGAAACGTTGTCATGCCTTACATCTCTATATTCCTTTTCCGGGTTCTTGGGTCGATCATGTTGTCGGCGCTTGGGCGCCAGTGGCACCAGGCTCTGCCAGTGCAAGTGATCATCTGGCGCCAATGGCACCAGGCTCTGCCAGTCACTGGCTGGGCGCCGAGCCTCCGACGCACGCCGAGGCAATCGCTGCTGACCACAGCGACACGCCGAACACGCTTAGGGGCAGTCTGTCGCGCTTCCGGCCGCCGTGGTGAATCAAGTTGGGCGCGAAAAAACATGTATGAATCATAGTTACCACCGCCATTGCTGCTGTCAGCACCGCCGCACCCATCACCCATCGTCACTGCCATCATTCTGGTTGAGGGGGAGACTGAGAGAGAGAGAGAGAGAGAGAGAAAAAAAAACGAGAGAGAGAGAGAGACAGATATTGCCTAGTATGCGATGGTTGTCTCGTGGTTGTCTTGGGATTGTCCTGATGGTTGTCTGGTGGTTGTGCCGATGGTCGTCCTGTGGTTGTCCGACAACCAATCGTTTTTCGGCGCCTGCGGCGGGCTTTCTCATTTTGCTTTTGAGATGGATAATGAGATCGACAAGGAAATTCACCGATACAGTAGGTCGGTCAACGGATAGGTAGATAGCGGGATCTCTTTGTCATCGCGATCATCATTATGGTGGAGGGAAACTCTGATAGAGAGGGAGAGAGAGATAGAGGACGAGAGAGAGAGAGAGAGACAGACAGACATAGAGAGAGAGAGAGAGAGAGACAGAAAGAAAGAGACATATGATATCAAGGTGACAGGCTGGAGGTCAGTCAGGGTGGGCGTTTGATCACAATCCCCCCCAACCTCCTTATCGCCCGCAGGGCGGTCGTATAGGTAGATATCTATACGACGGCCCTGCGGGCGATAAGGAAGTTGGGGGGATTGAGATCAAATGCTCACCCTGACTGACCTCCAGCCTGTCACCTTGATGTCATCTGTCTCTTTCTCTCTGTCCCACTCTCTCTCTCTCTCTCTCTCTCGCTGGTTTGAACAAGATAAGATGTATTGGATTGGACAAGATGGATTGGATCAGATAAGCTGGATTGGATAAGAAAGCCCACCGCAGGCGCCGACAAAAATGAATTGATGGATTGGGTTGGGTGGATTGGACTGGATGGGATAAGATGGATTGGATAAGATAAAATGGGTTGGATTGGAAGAGTTGGATTTGATAAGATGATATGGATTGGATTGGCCCGCCGCAGGCGCAGACACAAATGAATTGATGGATTGGGTTGGGTGGACTGGATTGGGTGGGATAAGAGAAGATGGGACAAGAGGGGTTGGATAAGATGACAGGATCGGATTGGACAAGATTGATTGGATAAGCTAAACTGGATTGGATAAGAAAGCCCGCCGCTGGCGCCGACAGAAATGAATTGATGGATTGGGTTGGGTGTATTGGACTGGATGGGATAAGATGGATTGGGTGAGATAAGCTGGGTTGGATTGGAATACATGGATTGGATAATATACGATGGATTGGATTGGCCCGCCGCAGGCGCAGAAAGAAATGAATTGATGGATTGGGTTGGGTGGATTGGATTGGGTGGGGTAAGAAAAGATGGGGCAACATGGATCGGACAAGATAAGATCGATTGGATTGGACAAGATGGATTGGATAAGATAAACTGGATTTGATAAGAAAGGCCGCCGCAGGAGCCGAACAAAAATAAATATGAAATTCGCGACATGCGTTAGCGCCGGGACGCCCGGGACACCCAGGACACCTGGGACACCGCCCGGCCCAACTGAGGGAAACGGACTTTCGCTCCTACTGACACCCGGGACACCGGGACTCCGCCCAGACCAAGTGGGACACCTCCCAGCCACCGGCGGACGGGAACGGACTTTCGCTCCTACTTCGGCCTAGCTACAGGAGGATCACGCGCAGCTTCGCCTCGCCCGCACGCACGACACGAACACGAAACCGAAACCGGTTTCCCGGTGGGGGGTCTCCGTTTCACTGCGATCTCACCCCCAACCTCCGATACATACATATCTATATATATACACGTACATGTATGTATGTATGTATGTATGCATGCATGCATGCATGCATGCATGTATGTATGCATGCATGTATGTATGCATGCATGCATGTATGCATGTATGTGTGTGTATATGTATGCATGTATGTATGCATGCATGCATGCATGTATGTATGTATGTATGTATGTAGGTATGTATGTATGTATGTATGTATGTATATTTGTATATATGTATGTACAACTATTAAGTCATATGTACGTGACGCTCGTATCAATCGTGTTTGCATTATACCTGGAGTGCTCGTGTTAGTAATCG